CTTTAAAACTATGTCTTATAGTTCTTAACCACTCTTAAATCTGTCAAAATACAAAAGTGGAGACCAAGAGATATATTTCGAAGATCTTCATTTTTCGGTATCACAAATTGTGCATTCCTTGTTTTACAGATTATGCTTGCAGGCATTATTGTGTTGTCTGAAATCATTTACTGTGCAGCAAAATGGCTAAAATTCACTTCTGAAATCTTAATTTACGTTAACTTATATTTAAGTTAAATACAAATTCTAAGTCTGTGTTTGTAAACAAAGGGAGTCCAGTTTCTGTTGTACTGTACACTCCGTATACAGACCAATTTATATATATATATACATATTTCTAAATACTTGGGACATAAAATGTCGTCATCCAACTATGAGTTTGGTCCACTTTAGTATTTATTCACTTTGACAGTGTGCAGTGTATATTGTACAGTGTACAGTTCAATTTAGCAGTGTTCAGTGTTCAGTTTCCATATGCAGTTTTATAGTTCGCAATGCACAGTGTGCCGTGTGCAGTGTGTAGTGTATAGTGTTTAGTGTATCGTTGGCTGTGTGCAGTGTATATAGACACTGTAACGGGTAATTTTAAAATAGGTTAATCTGGGAGTGTCCATAACAACGCACAACATTTATCAAAAAATTATATGGAAACAAACTAAAATAAAATGTATGAAAATGCTTTAATTTATTTAACATAAGTTTTGATCAATATTTAACCCTATCCCTGCTGGGGTACTTGAAAACCAGGATACGCTGGGGGACCCCCCCCCCCCCAGCAGGAATAAGGTTAAGAACATAGAATTTGGACGAGGTTAAGGTTTCCTATGGGAAGTTTGTGAATCTGATATCTGTGCCTGGTAGACAAAATGTGAAGCTGTATTCATTTGCAGTAAAAATAAGAATAGTCTAACATAGATAGTTAGATAGTTTGTCAGGGGTTGAATTTGTGCCGAAAATGACACTCATGTCATTATGGGTGGTTGGTCAATTTGGTCATTTTACATATTGTGCATGCAAGTATATGGCTGTAGATACAAAACCTCAGGTTGATCAGGTTAATGGCTCCCAAACAACAATCGTTTTCAATGTTAAATTATTTAATTTACTTTGGGGGTATACATGAGTGTTGTTAAAGAGTGATGGGATCTAGTTTAAAACATTGGATGACTTTTGAAACCTGGTTGATTAAGTAAAATTGTTAATGATTGCAGAGTTATTCAGGTGATTTTAAGCATTTTCTAATTAAAATGATTTCACTTTTTAATGTTTCTTTTGTCTGTTGTTTGAGATATTGGTTTGGTTTGTGTTTCTCCGAAATGAAGGGGGGGGGGGGGTTTTTTTTTAAAGACAACTTCTCTTGGTTTAGAAAGGACTCAAACTCTTAGGTCCTCGAAAACATCTAGTTAAATGGATGGAGTATTGATAAGACTTACAAACAAACAAGCAGTGGTATTTGACTTTCTGAATCATGTCTAACCTGGTATTTAAAAGGGAAGATGCACAATTTGCCTGCAGTTGTTTTGCATGCTAATAAAAAATTAATTAATTTCAATAGAGAAAAAATGAAAACAATAATCTTCTCTTTTGAATCATAACATCTACAAATGCAATTTACAAGAAAGGTAAAATAAAGTATTTAAAAACAAACATATTTTACATCTGTAAGATAAAAGAAAATACATTCAAATGAACAAAATTGCTTGACTAACTATTTAATTCACCTGGAGCAACTTCACTGTTGCATTTAAACCTCATTCCTCCTTGCGGGCAAATACTGTACTTAACATCTTCATCAATTTCTTCAGTTTCACTTAGTCTTTTCTCTAGTAAAATTTAAATTAAGGTTAATTTTTTTATGAACTAAGCCAGTTAGAAGATTAAATTTAACAATTGTAACTGACAAAATTATTGCTTCTAGATATAAATAAATAGTGAACAAACCAGAAAGAACTTGAGAAGGCCAAGGAAGTCTAAAATTGACTTTCAAGACAGTGGAATATGGCGTCCTTAAGACCCACAATTACTCCTACCAAGGTAGTCATATTAAATATGACTACCTTGGTAGGAGTAATTGTGGTTCAGGTCTTCCTGAGGGCGACCTCAAGAAGCATCTTTAGGACATCTTGACTTGTTCTTCACAAGATGCTGTCAAGTCAGGGTGTTCACTGGTTCCCCCCTCAAAATAAAAATATTTGGAGGGTAGGCACATAGAAATTACCCCCTCCAATAAAATTAGGGAAACCTATGTTCGCCCTGACTTCACAGCAACTTGTGAAGAACCAGACATGATGTCCTGAAGAGGCTTCTTGAGGACGACCCCAGGGTTGCCTTCTCAGTAACAAAATATACGAACATGATCGTATACTGGAAAACCCTTCAACCCTTTCTTCGGCTCTGAGCAGAGTAGAGAACCTGAAGAATAAGATTAGTGCACAACCAACCTTAATAGAATACAGATGCAGAGTTTAATCTCCCATTTGTATAGGAAGGCTTGGTGGCTTTCACAACATACAGCTAACAGACAGCCAACAGATGGATACATCTTTATCATGCCTACCATGGGAACTAAGGAGGACACTGGCCTCCTTCCACCTCATTATACAAGGAGATATATCCTTGGGGTCCTCATCATCTCGGCAGATATCAGAGGATGCTCTTTACTCACCAACTGGTTTAGGAGAGCCAAACACACAGATACAACCATACTCATCTGCAGATCTCATCCAGAGATTCCACCATACTCATTTATAGATCTCATCAAGAGATTCCATTCCACCATACTCATCTGTATATTTTATCAGGAGATTCCACCATACTCATCCGTAGATCTCATCAAGAGATTCAAAACCTGTAGCTTCTAGAACTGGACCAATTACCCTAGTACCAGCCAGTCCGAACTAAATAGTGGAATATCCTGGATACAGAAGAGAACTAGGATATTCAAGATATCAGATGCTGTCTAAACCTGAGACTGGAGACGCTGATCTTTTACAGACAGCTATTCATAACTCTGGACCAGCTAGAAGATCCAGTCAGACTTAGGACTGTAGGAGCAGAAGCTAAACTTAATACAGGAGACGCTGCTCTTTACAGAGAGCTCTCCACATGCCCATCATAAAAGAATAGGATAATCTTGTGACAAGAGATGCTGATTCATGTATATGTTGTTAAAAATAGCTGCAGGACAACCAGGAGAGCTAAGACTTCCAAGACACATAGGAGAACTAGGACTTCTAGGACTTAAAGGATAACTAGGGATAGCTCTGAAAGCAGCTCGAACTGTAAGTAAGGCTAGCATAGCAGAGACTAAAAGGATAACTCTGGGAGAAGCTAGAACTGTAAGCAGAGCGAACATAGCAGAGACTCTAGGAGCAGCTCCGGTAAGGAAGGAAGCAGCTGGAGTAGCAGCTAAGATTGAAGTGTAAGAGATATTGAAGTGGAGCAGCTAAACAAGATATCGAGTTGAGGAAGCTGCCTAGATAGATACTGAACTGAAGCAGGTAAAAAAGATATCCAGTTGGAAAAGCTGCCTAGATAGATATGGAACTGGAGCAACTGAAACAAGATATTGAGATTGAGGAAGCTGTTCAGACTGACACGGAACTGGGACAGTTAAAAATCACAAAAAAAAATAATTTCCAAAATCAACCAGTCATTCAATGCATCAATGAAAGGATGAATCAATTAATATAGAAACGAATGAATAAATAAAGAAATATTTAAAATTTTAATTAAACATTTAATTTCTGTGAATTGTGCAATGTGTATTGTAATGAACAAACTTTTATATCATTCAAATTTCAGAGTTAAATCCTAAGGATATCAAGATCAATCATTTGCCCCTCCTCGGTTAAGGGTTATGCATAGGTTTCACTTTCAATCCCAGTTTCATAAACTATCCAATTCTAGTTATTCATATAGTTTAATGTTCATCTCTCAGAGTATAAATGAATATAATTTATTAGTTTATCTTTATTGGTTTAAATAATTTGTTAAAGTTTATTTCTGTCTTCTTGCATCTTGTTCAGATAATCATAATTCTCTGGTGTAATTAAGCAGCTCCCTCAACTCCTGTTCAGTATCTAACTAGGCAGCTCCCTGAACTCGATATCTCATTCAGATGCGCCTGTTAAGTATCTCCTATACTGTAATCCTGGATGATACATTAGCTGCTTTTAATTTTTCTCAAATCCAGCTGTTCCTAAAGTCTTTGTTATGTCCCAAGTAAGAAAAGTGAGGAATTTCCCCAGATTCTCCAACCGTGGGGACCAATTCCCTAGAATTGGTCCCCAAGATGAGAGATTTTTGTGGGATCACAGTTTTGATCGACTCAGTTTCAAGAAATTCCTGAGAAATTCTCCGGAATTTTTCCCCACGAAATTCCTCAGAATTTCTCCAGAAATATTCTCTGGAAATTCCTGAGAAATTCTTAGGACTTTGTCACCATGTTTATGGATTTTTCAGGGAATTTATTAAGAGAATTAGTTTTGAGAAATTCCTTGGAATTTCTCCGGAATTTCACAGCAAGAAATTCCTGAGAAATTCTCTGGAATGCTTCTCCGGAAATTCCTGAGAAATTCTTAAAACTTGGTCACGATATTTAGGGATTTTAAGGGGAATTTAATAAAAGAATTAGTTTTAAGAAATTCCTGGGAATTTCTCCGGAATTTCACATCAAGAAATTCCTGAGAAATTCTCCGGAATGCTTCTCCGGAAATTCCTGAGAAATTCTTAAAACTTGGTCACCAAGTTTACGGATTTTTCGGGAATTAGATAAGAGAATAAGTTTCGAGAAATTCCTGAGAATTTCTCAGGAATTTTTCTCAAGAAATTCCTAAGAATTTCTCAGGAATATTTCTCCGGAAATTCCTGAGAAATTCTCAGGACTTCCTCACAGAATTTTCAAGTTCCATTTTTCACCAAGAGGTGTCTCTGAGGTTCTCTTCTTTTATGCACTGCTCAATCTAAATCTTTTTTTCTTTGCAGCCTTATTGATAAAAAATGGTAATTTACTTCAGAACCATCTTTTTAAAAGAAATATTTAAAAATTTTAAAACATTTTTTTAATTTTTTCTTGACAATTCATTTGTCTGAATAAACAAAATACATGACAACTTCAGGAAGGTCAAAAACGGCTATAACATTCTGACTTAAGAAGATGGTTATACTTCTATAAAGTTGGAGGGGCAATATAGTTGTTAAGTTATTCACTACTTTTGTAAGTGAATATTTCAAGATATTCCTGAGGAACTCTTGAGAAAATCTTGGGAATAGTTCCGGGGAAATTCCCAGGAATTGCTTCTGAAGACCTTTTTGCTACAAATTTTCTGTCGACATTTTCACCAGATTTTCCTGTGAAAGATTCCTGAAAATTTCCGCGGATTCCCAGGAAAGATTCCTGGGAATTTCCGAGGATTTTCCGCAAAATTGTTACTTGGGGTTAGCTGTATTTTACCGCAGCTGCTCCTTGAATCTCTGACACTCTGGTTGTGGAGATGCTCCTACCATCTGAGATGTTCAAACTAGCTGAGATGTGTCCATGCAATCCACAACTGCTCCTAGAGTATGAGATATGCCCACAATATCCAGAGCTGCTCATAGAGTATGAGATATGTCCACAATATCCACAGCTGCTCTTAAGAGTATGAGATAGGTTCATGATATCCACAGCTGCTCCTACTACCTGAGATGCTCTCAATAGCTTAGATGCTTCCACTAGCTGAGATGCTTCCACTAGCTGAGATGCTTCCACTACATTCCCAGCTGCTTCTACAATAGGTCTGTAAAGAGCTGTTTGTGAAGAGCAACAGATACTGCCCCAAAATTATCTTGTATGTTGCTCTGGGAGTCCTAAGTCTGGCGGGATGCTCCAGTTCTTCTCTATATATTGGAGATCTTATTCTTTATCTGTATCCTAGTTCATGATATCTTAGTTCCCCTCGGTATCTTAGAGCTTCTAGTTCCTGTATATTCTTGTTCCTGGATATCCTCTCTCTTCTGTATCTTTATAGTAGTTTAGACAGGCTGGTACAAGAGCAATTGGTGCAGTCTATGAAACTAAAGGATATAAATCTCTTGATGAAATTGAATGGATCTCCTATTCCTGACTGGATCATCTAGCTGCTCCAGATATGTGAAGAGCTGTCTACAAAGAGCAATTTCCCAAATCCCAGGAAGGTATATAGCATCTGGTATTTTGGATTATCTCATTCATATTTAGATATGCCGTCCTCATAGATCCTCGTTGTTATCATCATTTTTGTCATCATTGTTATCATCTACAAAAGATCTGTGGAGAACTGTTTCCCAATGAGTGGCATCTCTGTTCACAGAATCCTCTGGTTCCCCTATTGGTTCCAAAACAGGTCTAGCTTCTGCTCCTGGAGTCCTAAGTCTGACTAGATCTTCCAGCTGCTCCAGACATGTGGAGAGCTGTCTGTAAAGATCAACTTCTCCAATCGCAGGTGTAGGCAGCATCTAATATATTGAATATCCTGGTTCTCCTCTGTATCCAGAATATTCCAGTTGGTAGTTCAGATGGGTCTGTACAAGTGTAGTTGAACAAGCTGAACTGGAGTAGAACCTCATTGTCCTAGATCTGTACTTGCTCTATATCTCCAGTGGACCTTTCATTAGGCCCAGCTCAAGTATCTAGAGTAGTTGAACAAGCTGTAGATCAGAAGAGTCTCTGTTACTCTGGTTGTGAGTATCTAGAGTAGTTGAACTAGCTGTGGCTCGGAAGAATCTCTGATACTCTGGTTGCAAGTATCTGGAAACCCTATATATAGCTAGATGTAGAACTCGAAAGATGTTCCTTCTAATGTTCATGTGGGATTTTATAATTAAACTGAGGATTTTCTTGGCGTTGTGTCTTGGCAAGACCTCTAACAGATGTGGATAAAATATTGGTAGGAACAGGCTAAAATGGGAATGGGGGGAACAAGTCTTTGTTTTGACTTGACACTAGACTAATTCAAGATGCGGGGGAAAACAGAGAACACTCCTGAAAAAGGGGACAGGGAGCAGGATACCCAATTATTTGTATGGTTATATCTCATATTACAAGATATTTGATAAATTTGATATTTTTTAGAAAATTGAGGGTCTTAAGACTTAAGGACGCCCTTGACCATGTCCAAGACGCTCCTGTAATTTTTGGGAAGTGTATTAAAGGAGAGTGAGTTAAAAAGATCTTCTCTGGTTCCAAAATCAGTCACTAATGATTTGCAGATTTTATCCTGCTCCTTCAGAGATTTGATTCTCTACAATATTCTAAATACTGTCCTTTGTTATTTTAGTTTCACAAAATTATGTGTTCTTAGAAAAACTTTGAATTTGCCAAATTGCACATAATTATGACCTAATTACTCATAATTAAAACATTTAACTAATGCTTTAAAAATTATGCAACATTTGGGACATGATATAATGCTCATTCTGAAAGGAAAGACATTGTTAAAATACAAAACAAAATTGAGACTACAAACGCTGCTAAAATATCATATATCTTATAACCATATATCAAATATAAACTCTGATTTATTGTATTGTATTACATACAAACCATTTCTCTTTACATGGTTCCCTTATCTATAGGACCTGATTTCAAACATGGAAGGTAATCTATTGAGTATTATACCTTATCACTTATGGACCCAAATCTGTTTTACCTGATATTACATAAGGACCATGGTCCAGAAACCCTTCTGGTATCATCTTAGATATGAACTGGCCCAAAAACTCTATTTTCATTTCAATAGTTGCAGACGAATTCAGGATATGGATCTTGATCCTGATAAAAAAAGTTATTACTGTCATAAAAATGTTTAAATTAATTGTGCAGGAAAGCTTGTTTTTTTCTGAATCCAAATAAATCTGGAATCAAATCCTAAAGCAGTTTCTGTTGCCTTACCTCTCAAAAACATAAGGCTGAGGAAATCTAAGAATCCTTTGATATGGTTCAGTTAGAGTATCAGGGGATGAGTAGAATACTTTGATTTTTGGTACAGTTACATCTTCTTCAGTTATATTTACAGTCAACTCTTTGATCCAGTTCTTTGGGCTAGTTGTTATTAACAGGGAATCCACCATTACTCTCTTCGCTAATTCTATCTCAATCCAGGATGCCCCAGTGCCCCTAGATTCCGAACATTTATATAAAATCAAAAAAATTCTTGCTAACTCATTTAAAGTTATATAATTCATAATAATTTGATATTGTTTGAAAAATCTAAATCTAATTTTTTTTTTTAAATGTTCAAATTTTTAAACTTTTGCTTAGCTTTCAGATGTACTAAAATCTCAATAACCAAAAATTTAAAATTAATTGTGGGTAAAACATTCTGCACTTACAAAACATACCAAATACATACCAAATACCAAATACCAAATACTTAACCCCTTATATTTTAGCAATTAGACTCAATAAAGTGAAATCATACATTCAATTTGTTCTTGATTTAATCTTAATTTTATTAAGCAACAATAACAACTTTAATGAATATATGTGCTTATATACAAAAAATAGTTTTTTTTTATCCATTACAGATTAAACAAAAAATTATCTAATAATTATACTCTTTTCTTTTTACCAATTCTCAAGGAAAAAATGATGGAATTACTTTGACCACCTTTTCTATGTAAAACCTGTTTTAGTAAATGTATTTAACCCTATATATAAAGAGGCTGAAAGGTCTGAATTTATGCAAACACTGGCGGTAGGGAACAATAATGATATATTAAAACTAAGTTACAGGGATGCATTTCATGTTCATAGTCCAATTTATCAAGGTCAGCTTAATTAATAAAAAATTATACTTGTAATATAAATGATCTGGGTGCTAGGGAGGTTTTAAAAATGTCCAAATAAGTCTGAAAGATATACAAATTAAATCTTTAAAAAGTTATGGCTATTTATTATTTTACTATGATCAGCCTTTAACCGTCTTGTACTAACTGCCCAAGAAATACAATTATAAAAATGGATTTAATTCTCTTTATATTTCTTTATAGTAATAATTTTATATTAAATTCTCCTAATTAAATGTTTTTTTTAAGCTTTATTACCCTTTTAAATAAAATATATTTAATTGCCCCAATAACAAATAATAAAATATAAAGATAAAGTTTTAATTTGAATTAAATTTTTTTAGATTGCACAAATTTTATATTTTTAATGTATTTTGAAATGATGTATGTGTTATTAACACTAAACATTCTATAGGTTGGGCCACTAAAGGCTGTTCCTGAAAAAATTCCAAGATTTGCATCACTTTTTTAGGACGCATTTTTATCTTTTATAATGGTTTCCAAAATGAGCCATCCGTTTGACTTTTTTTTGTCCATTTTTTGCATTTGGAAAAACTTTCTTTTCTCTCATATTTGATGCAATAAAAATGCGTTTTTTCACAACTTCATTCAGCACCATCTAGTGACACAAATATTCTTTTCACCTTTTTGAAATTCTTTTAATATTAAGGGAAAAGTTTATGACTCAAAAATTCTTCTTTTTCATGAAAAAGGCAATAGATATAATCTAACCTAGTTAACTGAATTCTCAGGGGTATTCCAGGAAAATCTGGGAGAATAGATGAATCTATTTCAAGAAAATCCATTCCTTCATTATGTATCTTGTATTGCAGCTCCACTTCATCGATAAGCCAATAAAGCCCCAAGGGTTGGACTAAATATAATCATGTTTCTAGTCTAAATTCAGTTATTTCTTTAAAAACTGAAGAGCATTTATGATCCTAGAAACCTTTCTTTTTGTAGATATATATCTGATACAAGAAAATACAAATATATTGCAGTTTTACTATCTTTATAAGAATTTTCTGTTTATTTCACAGAGAAATATCTCAATAATTGTATAAAGGGTATTACCTAAATCCTTCTGGCAGACTCCAAACCCATCCTGTTTGTCTGTAGCTACTTTTACTGTACCATCCCCATCAATTGTAAGCACTACATAAATATATAGAGTTATGAACACAGAATCTGTTAACAGTATAAATTGTATTTTTACCATTTTATCATTTTTTTTTAAAGGTTTCTTATTTTATCCTAAAACTTGGTGGTATATTATTTATACAAAGAGTTTCTTTACTTTTAAAATTAGATCAAATTTTTTAACAAATAAACTTGAAAATATAATAATTAGACCCCCAAGCCTTTATAGGGTTAAATATCTAAGTAGTCATCTTTATTTACCTTTGCCTGAACCAAAATAATTATCATTAGCAATAGGATCTGGATCCAACTTAAACCCATCATGTTCTCCAGATGAATCTAAGAATTATTGTTTTATATTGGGTTGCTCAGAGCATATGTTATTTTTTCAAACAAGCATATTCATGAATGTAATAGTTTTGGTACAACTGAATGATACCATATATGCCCTAGGGGGAGGTTTAGAATGTCAAATATAATTTCAACTATTAAGGGTCAAATTATGCTGCAAAGATAAACAGTGTGTCTAATAAGCATAAACTGTGAAAAAGAAATTGAGTCTCTGACACAAATTCAAATTTTGAAATCCCTTTTTTGTAAATTGATATTTCAAAATTGGATTATTTTATCTGACAGAATTCATAGCTTGCAATATCTAAGGTTTACAAAAATGGGTTGCGAAGATAGGGATTAGAAAATCTGAATTTGAGCCAAAAACTGCTTTACAACTTCTCAACAAAAATAAGAAGGACTGAAGTAATGTTTTTTATTTGTATACAAATTTATTTTTATAACAAGATAAATATAGATTTCAGATACTTACAATAGAAAGGATAAAATCCTGGTTCAATTGTGAGATCATTAAATATGATTCCCTCTCTTATATCTTTTCTCCGTACCCCAAGATGGTACATATCAACAGATCTAAGACATGTTATATGTTTCAAACATAAGAAGAAATGGTTAATAAACTTTTGAAACAGTTTTTTTTTTTGGTTTCTGATAATTATTCAAAAAATTATTACATTTTCTGGTTTCAATTACTGTTAATTATTCTAATAAAGATTTAGAATTTGCTTAAGATTGCTATCACTTTTTCTATTTCAAACTCATTCATTTTATAGTAGCAAAGGATTGCAATTAATGTTAATGCATTTCATGTTTATACCATTTTGATATATGTTTGTTGAATATGTTTTGCATCAATTTGTTTTAACAAATGTTTGACGGGTATCAACCATTATGAATTAGTCAGAATGTGCCACTTGATCTAATAATGTTAAATTTCTAACATTTACAATTTGAAACAAAACGTCTGAGGCTTTATGACTTACTGAAATAAGTTTAGAATGGATTCAACTTCTGCAAGGGCTCGGGGAGCCCAAAGATGTGAACTTATTTGGTTGCATCTTTCTTCAAGTAATACAGGAGGTCCTTTCTCAACACTCTTATAGCATCTGGAACCTAGTCTTACAAACTCTTCTTCACATTCTGGAAAATACATAAGCATAATGCTTTTTGTTTCATTATATTCCTGCTAATATTTGTATAATGCCACACTATTAAGAAAGACGTTACAAGTTTTTATACATAAATCTTTACCAGCAACATAAACAGAAAACACACTGTTTGAGAACAAAGATTGACACTCAACATCTTCAGCTTGGCTTGAATCTGATCCAAACAGTTGGTTAATTTCAGTTTCGTTTTTACAAGCACAAGCTCCAGGAGAGAACAGAGAAAACCGTGTTCTTACAGATTTACAGTGGATTAAACATTTAAAATGTGAATCTATAACATTGAGATCACTGTTGCTGGTAGTAAACTTGAGGCAGCCCAGATATATAGGCTGGTCAACTTTAATATCTATTGGGGAAAATGATATTAAACCCCCTTCGGTTGTTGATGCTTTGATGGAGATATACTTTGGTAACTCAGAGATATTTTCAATTGGAATTATCAATGGGATGCTTTCAGATTTTTCTGTCATAGGAAGCGTTTTCTGAACAACTATGTCCTCACCAACTTCAGCAGAAACTCTAAATTCTCCAACCTTTTTTGGATTTCCAGGCATTGACCTGAATTATTATGATTGACAATTATGTCATGACATCTGATTTTGCTAAATATTTTGCAATGCATGTAGAAGATGAATTTCTGTTGTGTTGCATAGTGATGAACTTAAAAAAAAGGATTTTTGTATTTTTAATGGAAAATATCTTTTAAGAACTTTTTTTTCAATATTGTGCAAATACATTTTATTACTTTCATGTAAACCTCAATTTTGTTGGTTTAATATTAGAAAACTTTAACTCATTTTGCCTTTAATGAACAACTTTAAACATTGATTTTGTTACCTAATCCATGTTTTCAAGTAGGAAGTTGGGTTAAATTTCATAATATATTCCTCTGGAAGATGAGGAATGATAGCTTCAAGATTAAGATCATATTTTAAATCATATTGAATCTTTAAATCAGAGCAGTACACTATCCTCTCTACACTATTCCCCTCAACTTGTCCACCAAGGCCTTTCAGATCTAAGGAAACACAAGATATTTCTTAACTATAACACCTTATAATTTTATTTAGCATTCAATTAATCAACACTTACTTCTTTCTTTCTCGCACACATAGTTCACTGCAAAATTAATGTGATTTAAAAACTAGGAAAAATAATCAAAATATTTTCTTTTATTTCTTAATATTTGGAAGAGTTTCATTAGAATTTTATTAACATTTTTCATTCTCTGATTAGACTGCTTGTATGAAATAATTGTATTTTCAATATACCTGTCTTATGACAATAAATATCTTTCATTATGGTACCATCAACGCGGATACAATCTTCTTTTTTTGATTCATCATTAGTAGCTTCTAGATCCCAGTTTGAAATATCTCCAAGTGGCTGTCGATACCATCCATAATCCCAGAAGAACGCTGTAGGATTATAGCTTGTTCTGTAAGAGGAAGTCCAATATTCATCATTCCAACTTTGATTTTGTCCAAACTTTAGAAGCTCTGTGTCCAAGTTAGATATTAACCTAGCATCATTTCCAATACATTTGGCATGGGCATTCCAGTAGTTTAGTTTTTCTACATCACTATGAAGTAGGCATTTTTTATTCTTGTAGTCAATCCATCCTTTAGGGCAAGCTACACAAGAAATTGGAAAATTACTCATAGATTCAATAAAAGAGTAATAACAAGAAAATTAATTAATAGATATTTCAGAGCAACATATTTCATAATATTTATTCATAATATTCATAATTTTTATAATGTTTACATGGGGACACATTGAGTCCTTGATAGGTAAAAAACATTTCAAATATTACCTGGCAACATTTGATGAAAATATCTGTCATGAGTTGATCCATTGTAATTTTCAGGCGAAGAACAGCTAGAAGTTTCCTCCAAACCTTTAAGATCAGAGTTCTCCCAGTTTTTAGTGGCATCAATAGTCGCCCAACTATCATCACATTCCAAAACAAATGTGATTTTACTAACATCAGGATTTGTCACCTGGAAAAAAAACAATATATAGATTATTTCTAAAGGTTTCAATTTTACAATAAAATTGAACCATTTAGCACAGACTATTATGGCCTTTATTATCTTACACAAATATTTTGATTATTTGTTATCACTTACAAAATGCTAACACAACCAAAATGTTTCCAATCTCAAAAAGTTGTTGACTTATATTATTGATAAAGCTAAACTTTGTAAAAAAAAATATGCAACGTTGATTATCAAATTTTGCAAAGTCACAATATCTTCAATCTCTAAAAGGATTTGTATTAATTCCCTTCTTTATAGTCTAAAGTGTCTAGCATGTGTTAGTTAGAAAAGTAAAAAATAAGAATTCAAAAGTCTAACATAATTCTTGTTATTTGCTTTAGCACTACCTGATAAAGTGGTAAATGTTTGAGTTTAAGATGTGGATAGTAAATACACTCAACCCAGCGGTCAGATGAGAGAGTAGTAAACATATCACACTTGGTCCCCAGCAAACATCTTCTAGCACATTCTTCCACACTCTTTACTGCTTTCCGGGTTCGGAATTCGATGGAACCTATTCCTGAATTTATGTCTAAAATAACTTAATTTTATCTGCTTGAACATTCTAAAAAGTCTATCTGGGAAGTAGAATTCTGATTAATTTCTGTGGGAAATTAGAAGTTAGGTCACATTTGATATAATTAAAAAATTTAATCTTTTCTTAGTCCCCCTCTAATATATTTGAGCTTAATTATTGTCTCTTTAATGTATATTGAATTAAACACCCTGTATCTACTTACCAGCTGGACTACTGAAAACACTTGACATTTGTGATGTGCCCCAGTTAGCCCTCAAGGATATTCCAGGATGCCTAAACATTGCCTTTGCCTATGCATCAAGATGTTTTTTCTAATATTGATAAAACTAAAGTATTGCCTTTTAAATGTGAGCTAATGCATTAGCTTATTTTAATCAAAATTAAGATTAGTATATAGTAGATACTTTTAATCATTGCTGATCTAAACTATTCCAAATCAAATATATGTGCGATTCATTTTGGGTTTTTCTTTTAAACCCCTATAAAGTCAGAGAGAGTAATAGTGGAACTTGGAGTATTTCTTTAAAATTTAAAATATGTAGAACAAAGAAAAGAGCTGTAGTAATTATGACAGGGTCTTTTTGAAAGATATACCATGTGTTCAAACTACATATGAATGATCTGTAAACATAATCTGTTCAAATATAACCTGGCCCAACGTGGATAGCATGGTTTGGTTAATTTTGTGCTGTTAAGTCCTTTTCCAAGATATCCATCTTCAATTTTCCTGGATAAAAATGTGTCAGGTCTTTTTGCATTTAGAAAATATTAGTCTGTTTATAGGGATAGTGTAATGTAACAAAAAATGTTTTTTTGTTTTTTTTATGTTACAATAATATGAAAAGTTTGGATATATATTAATATAAGAGATGACTAATGAATATGCCAGCAAAGACAAATAGTTTTTTATTTCATGCTTAAAGGAAATGAGTATATGCCACAAACTCTAATTTTCAATTACTATATCTTTACAACCTGATGTTGTAGACTTTTAATATTGAAACATTAAAGGTTTAAACCATTAGGTTGGGAAGATATTGGTATTAGTATATGTGACTAAAACTTAGTTCCTTTCTAAAGGGAACCTAATTTTACTTATGATTACCTGTAAGAGAAAATATTATTTCTAATGATTACCTGTTAAGAGAAACGATTATCACAAAGATTACTTATAAAGTGAACCTAGTTTTACTTATGATTACCTGTAAGAGAAAATATAATTCCTAATGATTACCTGGTAAGGAAACCGATTATCACAAAGATTACTTGTAAAGTGAACCTAATTTTACTTATGATCACCTGTAAGAGAAAATATTACTCCTAATGATTACCTGGTAAGGAAACCGATTATCACAAAGATTACTTGTAAAGTGAACCTAATTTTACTTATGATTACCTGTAAGAGAAAATATAATTCCTAATGATTACCTGTTAAGGGAACCGATTATCACAAAGATTACTTGTTAAGTGAAACTAATTTTACTTATGATTACCTGTAAGAGAAAATATTATTCCTAATGATTACCTGTTAAGGAAACCGATTATCACAAAGATTACTTGTAAAGTGAAACTAATTTTACTTATGATTACCTGTAAGAGAAAATATTATTCCTAATGATTACCTGTTAAAGGAACCGATTATCACAAAGATTACTTGTAAAGTGAACCTAATTTTCTTATGATTACCTGTAAGAGAAAATATTATTCCTAATGATTACCTGTTAAGGGAACCGATTATCACAAAGATTACTTGTAAAGTCAACCTAGTTTTACTTATGATTACCTGTAAGAGAAAATATTATTCCTAATGATTACCTGTTAAGGGAACCGATTATCACAATTACTTGTAAAGTGAACCTTTTTTATAAAAGATTACCTGTAAAGGGAAACTATTTTTACTAATAAGTACATGTTAACCCTATTCCTGCTGGGGGGGGGGGGGGTCAATTTGACCCCCCCCCCCCCGGTAGTTTTTTTTTACATAACTCAAAAAGTATTGGTCAGAGGCTGTTGAAATTTTCTGACTTTTAATACATACCCAAAGCCCTCCCTTTAGGCCTAAAACCGGGCTTTAATACTAACTGCCTGAGTTCTCAGGCACACTGCCTGAATGACTGCTACTAAATCTTTGTTTTGACCCACTTCCACTTGTCAGATTTTGATATAATTTAGCTTTTTGAAAAGCCTTTGACAAAAGCAAATGAATTGCACAAGTTTTGCGAAAAAAATTACAAATTTTTACAAACAACCTGTCAAAGGAAATTTGCACATTTTTAGTTTTTCTTGATTAAAAATCAGGTTATTTAAAATTTTGCTAAATTTTTTGCATATTTAAAATCGCATGGTCAAGGGATTTTCAAAAATGCATTATTTTTTCATTTTTTGGACAAACTTTGTTTTGCAAACATTTTTACTATATAACTGGTTGTTGCGATAAAAAATTCAATTTTTGCAAATTTGCAATTTTTTTGCAGATTCTAAAAGTAGAGCACAAGAGCTTTCCCAAGATGTATCATTTGTCATATTTGGACATCAAACATGGGATTTAGAGGGGGGGGGGGTCAAATTGCTCCCCCCCAGCATATCCTGGTTTTCAAGTACCCCAGCAGAGATAGGGTTAACAGATTACTTGTAAAGTAAACCTATTTTTACAAAGGATTACCTGTAAAGGAATCATATTTTTACTAAAATATACCTGTAAAGTGACCTATTTTACTAATGATTACCTGTAAAGGGAACCTATTTTTAATAATGATTACATATAATGGGAACCTATTATCTCTAATGATTACCCGTTAAGGGAACCTATTATTAGTAGTGATTATGTGTTAAGGTAATCTATTGTAAAGTGAACCTATTTTTACAAAAGATTGCCTGTAAAGTGAACCCATTTTTACAAAAGATTGCCTGTAAAGTGAACCTATTTTTGCAAAAGATTGCCTGTAAAGGGAACATATTTTTACTAATGATTACCTGTGAAGTGAACCTATTTTACTAATGATTACCTGTTCAGGGAACCTATTTTACTAATGATTACTTGTAAAGTGAACCTATTTTTACTAAGGATTACCTGTAAAGGGAACCTATTATTACTAATGATTACCTGTTCAGGGAACCTATTTTACTAATGATTATTTGTAAAGTGAACCTATTTTTACTAAGGATTACAAGTAAAGGGAACCTATTTTTACTAATAAATACCTGTAAATGAACTTATTATCACTAAAGAATTAGTTATAAAGGGAACCTATTATTGCAAATAATTACCTGTAAAGGGAACCTATTATTGCTAATAATTATCTGTAAAGGGAACTTATTATTGCTAATAATTACCCGTAAAGGGAACCTGAAGAACCATCTTCTTGAACATTGTCATCATAATCATCTAGTGCCCTGAACATGAAATTATGAACATTTCTTTGAATGACCAAATTTTTTGGAGAAACAGGAATTCCCCCATGATACAGCAAAACCAGGCCTGTAATTTTGAAAAATCATCAATGATGAAGATTAATTATTTAACTAAAGGAAAAAACTAGAAAACAACATTAAATTTCTACTATTTTGAATGGATGATAAATTTTATTTACTGATCAAACAGAAATTTAAGATATTTGTTTTCTGAGGTAGGAATTAATCAATACTAGGAAACAGTTGAACTGGGTACATTAAGTTGAACCACTTCTCTAGTAAACTTCATTTGCAATAGAGATGTTGTTTAACCATAAAAATCTAGTTGAACTACTTCTTTGTTTTTTACTAAATCCAAACTAAAGTCCCAACTCTGTTCTTCTAGTGCTATTTTGCAATTCATTAAATACAATATCATAATTCATACATTAATCTAAAATTCAATAAAAAAGTATATTTTAAGCATGCAAGCAAGGAACTGGTAAATATATAAATGTCGTCTTCCTATTCCACTGTACTTTCCAAATAAAAACGTAGGGCACTAATATGAATATTTGAATTATAATTTTTAAAAAAACACATATTGCCCGCCTCCTCAATGAGTGGACATATGCAAATAAGTTGGTACACTTATGAAAATAAGAATATTGTATACCTATGATTTTTATGTTTTGACTATTGTTATTTAAAGATTTGGCTACAAAGCAAAATCAGTTTAACTTAAATATCTTATTTTAGAAAAATACGGTGCTCTTTGGTCAATAACTCTGATTTTTTGTTTGTATCTCTGTTAGTAAATGATGTTTATTTTTGAAGATTATCACAGAAAAATTAGAAAACAGTGAACTGTTAAAAATAAAATATAGAGCACCTATCTGTTCGAGTTGTTTCACTGGTAGACTTGTAGAAATTTCCAGCATGAACCCTGGAAAACAGGGTCCAGGCCAGAAACAGATACTTTAGCTCATTCATCTTTTTACCATATAATTCTGATTAACATAATCTAAGGAAAAGTACAGTGTGTAAATTATTAATGAATGTAAAGTGAAATAGTGTTCAGATTCGAACAAATATGGGCACATTCTTTCCTTTTTGGTATTTCTCTTGCATTTTTATAAAATGATAGTTTCTACATATCTCAGAACGATCCAACTTTTTGTCCATCGTTTTTTATATGAACAATACTATCATTTTGTTCGTTATCAAAAATAAGAATGTTTTCTTTCGAAAACGATGTCCATCTCTATTAAAGACTTTAAAATGATCAGTATCTTAAATTTACAACGTTTACAGTTTTCAAGTATAGCATGTCTTTAAATAACTTAAAATAACTTAATAGTGTAGAGTGCAAGACCATACAATGAAAAGAGAGCAGAATACAAAGAATAGATTGTAGATATCTGTATAACTGTAGAACGCAAAGAAAGTTGATTGGAGAATGCACAAAATAAATTTTTGGGGTGTAAAGATTACAAAAAAAGTGAAAAGTTCAGAGTGAAGAGTGTAATATTTTAGAATACAGAATGTTGAGAGTATTACGTTGTAAAGACTGAACTGCAGAGTGTAGAGTATAGATTGCAGAAAGTAGAGTATAAAGATTGATTTGTATAATGTAAAGTGTAAAGTTATAATGTAGAATGTAAAAACGGAAATAGAGAGAGTGTAGATGGTAGAGTATTAAGTTTGATTTGCAGAATGTAAAGTGTCGAGTTAGTAATGTAGAATGTATAGACTTCACTGCAGAGTGTAGAGCGTAGATAGCAGAGTATAAAGTTTGATTTGCAGAATGTAAAGTGTAAAGTTATAATGTAGAATGTAAAAACGGAAATAGAGAGAGTGGAGTGTAGATAGTACAGTATTAAGTTTGATTTGCAGAATGTAAAGAGTCAAATTAGTAATGTGTAGAATGTAAAGACTTCACTGCAGAGTGTGGAGTGTAGAGTATGTGCAGAAAGAAGAATATAAAGATTGATCTGCAGTCATAGGCAGTTTCAGGGGGTGTGGACTTCCATAACCCCCCTCAGTGAAATTAGGGGGGGGGGTACCCCCCTGGATTTTAAGAAATCATTTCCCATTTAAAGTATAGTTTTATTAATTCTTCTATATAAATAATAAAGTTTACTTGACAGTGACAACATTATGAAAATAAATTTTAAGTAAGATATCAATTATCATGTTTCTAAATATTAAAGCCCTCCTCCATAAAATACATCCATACTTTTCCCAGTACACGGCATATCTCAGGAATATGGGCATTACTAAAAAAGAGACCTTGGTATCAACCGAGTTGGGGAAGGCAGGCGGCCATGAGCCACCACTATTTCCCCTTTAGTGCCACATATTAGCTTTTTTCTCTTTCCGGCAGCCATGAGCCACCAATATTTCCCCTTAAATTCTTAAACTGTTTTACAATGAAATTTTTGACAAATTTGACTGAGTATTGCATCTTGAAATATCACAAAGTTGGTTAATATGTGATTTTAAGATGGATTTAGTATAATGAATCAGTAATTGAATAATCATTAGACTTTGTGATATTTCAAAATGCAATGCTCAGTCAAATTTGTCAAAAATTTAATTGTAAAACAGTTTAAGAATTCAACACACAAAATATTAATCTTAAGTAGAATTGAAAAAATGGTTTGAGTGACATAGCTGGTTTTTTTTTAATCAGACTTTAAAGGCCCTAAATATACCATTTAAAAAAGTAGTTTTGCCCAGAAGAGTCAAATGTGGTGGTAAGGAAGGGGAAATAGTGGTGGCTCATAGCCGCCTGCCTTCCCCCGCTCATCAACCACTGAAAGTTTAAAACTAAAACTTTGTGATATAAATATTGCCAGCGCAATGCAGTGCTCTCACTAGTTTGGCAGTTTATAATGTGAAGCATCTTAGGTATTTCTTATATGAACGCTGTGAACTGAGACCAAATTTTTATCTTTGCATTTTCAGATGACATGAAATGAAACAGTTTCAACACACAGCCTCAAAAGTCATTATTTTACTTTTTTTCTTCTAATCCTGGTCACCCTACCCCAGCAAAAAAACTATGGTTCAATATAATTTAATTATCTATTACTTTCTATTCTATAATTTTTATTTAATCAAAGGGACTGTAAGCGTAATTTCAATTCAAGTGACCCTCCAAATCTCATACAAAGAAAGCAATGCCCGATTCACAATGTTGCCCTTAAAAGCTTTTTTCTGATAAAATATGAATTTATAGATACCAATGTTTTTAATTTTGAAAACTGATCGTTACTTACTAAAAGAGAAAGAATAATAGCAGAAAAATAAAAATAATCCTCCCTTACTTAGACTAACATGACTGATATGTTATGTTAAATTGTTATATCAATTTGGTAATTAAAAAGCGATTCTGCACTCGTTTTTTTTTCACAATGTATTCTCGACATTTTTTACATGCTCATCATATCTGTTCTTGAATATGTTTAAAGATTTAGACTCCTTTATATAGTCCGGCAAACTGTTCCATGGGTTTATCACTATCACAGAAAAAGAGTTTATGTAAAATGTATGTATGTAAATATATAGAGTACCATTATAAAGTTCAGCAATCTATAATATTTTTTAATAAATGAATGGATTATAAAGGCATTTTTCCTAAAAGAAATTGTAATTTCAGTAGGGTTAGGAGGGTAAATAGAACTTTTTAGCTTTTAATTTAATTATTTTTTGTTTAATCCCCCCCCTCTTAAATCCTGAAACCGCCTATGTCTGCAGTATGTAAATTGTCAAGTTAAAATGTAAAATGTGTAAAGACTAAACTACAGATTGTAGAGTGCAGTGTGCAGATAGCAAAGTATGAAGAATCATCTGCAGAGCAAGGATGAAATGTAAAATTCAGAATGTAGATTGTAGAATAATAAAGTTAAGTGACACGGCTTGAACTGAACTGGAACTTTATGTTTGGGGCCGCCAACAGTGCGGGAACGAGGGCAACCTGAAAGTCACTTGGTTACCATTTTAACCCTATACAGGCTTTTTTATACTAGCACTCTTATTTTCGACACTAATACCTTGACTTTTCTTTTTCTTTTAAGGAATAGTAATGTTAATGATTTTTTGTGCAGGGTACATAGGTGGTAAAAAAATCTAAAAAAGCTCATAAATTGTTTTCTGACAAAAGCTACAGATCTAAAAAATAATTCTTAACTCTATCAAGGCTGGGGGGTCTAAATTTATGTATAGCCTAGGGGGCGTTAGGCGCCACCCCCCTCCTAGAAAAAGGCCTTCAAGAAGAGAATAAGTATAGGGTTGAAATGCATGTTCATTGTTCATAGCCCAATTTTTCAAGGCCAGGTCATAGAAAAGAAATTAGACCAATAACTTTAACCCTGTGGAAGACGATGCCTGGCCGCGTTAAACTAGTTCCACAAGATTCAACAGAATGAGATAGAACGGATA